CTGTTCTTATGTGAATAAAAGACTAATTAAATATGTACATGGTATAAAGCAAATTATCTCTTCAGGTGACTTGGATTATACCATTTGATTCACTTGGAGTTTTGCTTACATGGAATTTCAATGGAGGAACAAAAACCTCTTCATTTATATTTTGAAGATGAATGTAAGTCTTATGGGATTGTAATGACATGAGGATGAGTAAATTATGACAACCCTTTACATTTTTTACAAGCACCATAACATTGAGAAAAAAAAAGTTAATTTTTTAACAAAATAGTATTTATTTAAATACTATTTTACAATAAAACAAAGATAACTAGCAGCTTATTGGCATTGGCCAGAACGTTTCTTTTGAAAGTGTGGTTCATCTAAAATTTGGAACCAACAATTAATGGCTCATTCTTTGGAAATTTCAATTGTTATAGTATCACTTAATTTGGTGGTCTTGTGTCCCAATTAATACTTTATACTTTAAGTAGTGCAAGCATGTGAACTGTGCAGCAGCCCTGATTTCTTCAGCAGTCCTCTTTCGCCTCAGTGGAACTGTGGGAGCACTGACAAGCTCCTTAGTGTGTAGGAAGTTAAAGACTTCATCCACTTACAATGCAACCTCCCCCCCACCCTCCCTCTTTCATTTAGCCAGGTCATTTGCTCCCCCTTCTCCTTCCTCTGGCCCTCGAGTGGCCTTTTTTCTCAGCAGATTGGAGCAGAGCACCTTCCAACCTCTCGGAAAGCTACAAGCAGACTTCACCGCTGGCATTTAACACATGATCTCTCCCCATCTCCGTTTGGAAGCACTGCGGCAACTTCAGGCATTCAACAGTTTTCTCTCATTTATTCATTCCTTCCCTCATTTATCGGTTTCTGTTTGTTTATCCCCCTCTGTTCTGCCCTCTAGCTTTCTCTCTGCTCACATTGAGAGGTGAAATGAGGCATGCTGGAAATTTGCTGGCTGACAATGGAGGACAGCTGCTCTCACTGCTCAAGCCTTTCATGAGCTGAATTAGCAGTGCGAGCTCCCCGCGCTCCCTTCCCCCACCCTTGCTGCTGGCTTTAACACCCATCCAGACATACTAGCAGTCGCCATGTACAAAGCTGAGGGAAAAGGCTTAGTTTCTCAGATCTGCCATTGCTTTAATGGCTGATATTTTGCCCCCTTGTATTCTTTAAAGGGGTCATATGATGCGATTTAAATTTTTCCTTTCTCTTTGGACTGTTACAAGCTCTTGGTGCATAAAGAAGATCTGTAAAGTTAAAGACTAAAGTCTCAAATCCAAATAGATATTCTTTATAAAAGTTAAGAGTCAGCCACACCTACCTAAAACGGCTCGTTCTAACATGCCCCAACATACCTACGTCGCTCTGTGGGAAGATTTGCCTAACGCCGCCCAAATGTAGAAGGTGTAACTATTATTCTCGCTGTAGTTTTGTTGTTTCCGCTGCCATGTCGTAAAGACGCTGTGCTTCGTTGTAAAAGCGAAACTCCTTTGTTTGGTCTTCCAAAAGAGGACGATATCTGCTTCGTCATGCCTGGAGCTGATCCGTGCTGGTTGCCGAGGAAATACTACAACTTTGCGCTGTCGATCGCCGGATCGGCTTTCACCGTGGAAGAAGCGGAGTCCAGCCAAAAAAAACAGAGGTTGACCTATTGGATTTTGCAGATACTAAAAATGGAGGTGGGGAAAACATCAGAAAATCTATTAATCAGTCAACAGTTTATAAAATATATTGAACGTACAAGATATTGAATGTTGAATGTCTTTCCTTAAAAGTGGCCTACAGGAACCTAAATTATATGAAATACCAGTGTAAAATCAACTGTCACAACATAAAATGTAAAAAATAGTGTTCTAGGTCTCAGATGAAGAATCACTACCAATTTATTATACAAATAATTGCATACTTATTTTGAGTTTTAAACATTGTAATTACTTAATATTCACGATATTAACACGAGGGGAAATATTCATGTGATTTCGAACAAACACCGGGAAGCAAAGATCTATTTTGTTCTGACTTGCTTCCAAGAAGAGTGTGCACTATGGAAATCTGCGGGAAGTACAGGATTTGGCTTTGATTTACAGCATTTGGGTCATCAATACAACATTAATGCCGCTTTTCCACTGCATGGTACGACTCGGCTTGGCACGGCTCAGTACGGCACGGCACGGTTCGGCTCGGCACGGTTTGCATTTCCCTTAAAAGTGGCCTACAGGAACCTAAATTATATGAAATACCAGTGTAAAATCAACTGTCACAACATAAAATGTAAAAAATAGTGTTCTAGGTCTCAGATGAAGAATCGCTACCAATTTATTATACAAATAATTGCATACTTATTTTGAGTTTTAAACATTGTAATTACTTAATATTCACGATATTAACACGAGGGGAAATATTCATGTGATTTCGAACAAACACCTGGAAGCAAAGATCTATTTTGTTCTGACTTGCTTCCAAGAAGAGTGTGCACTATGGAAATCTGCGGGAAGTACAGGATTTGGCTTTGATTTACAGCATTTGGGTCATCAATACAACATTAATGCCACTTTTCCACTGCATGGTACGACTCGGCTTGGCACGGCTCAGTACGGCACGGCACGGTTCGGCTCGGCACGGTTTGCATTTCCACTGCAGTTCAGTAGCGCTTTAGAGTGGGCGGGATTATTCACATGTCGTTATAGTTGCGCCGCCTCTACTACCACGACTCCTAAAAAAAACTTTTTCATTCCGCGTCGCCCTATGAAGCTCTCGCTGGATCCGCTCCTCTGCTATCAACAAGAGGAATGTCTGTTCTTCCACAACAGACAACAAAACATTTTGGTTGTTAAAAAGGTGCGCTCATTTAAAACAGTTGCGTTTGATACTTCGCTGGCTGTACTGATTTAAATCGAGCGGTTCTGTTGTGTTTGTGGTGCAAGTTCAGTGACGCAGGTAGTGTCGATTCTCTCCGGCCAATCCGTGATCAGCAGAGTTTACACGTCACGTTTTGGTAATGGTACGGTTCACTTGGAACCCCAACTGAGGTGGTACTAAAAAAAGTACCAGGTACTGTACCCAGTGGAAAACCCCCCAAAAGTGAACCGTACTGAGCCGTACCGTGCCGTACCATGCAGTGGAAAAACGCCATTAGGCTACTCTTTAGCAATCTGAAATTATAGTTACAGACTAGGGCTGCACGATAAATCGCACGCGATATTTAACACGCATCTTGTCAGAAAGCCGGTTCTGTAATCAGCGGATTTTGGTTGTTAAACAGGTGCGCTCATTTAAAACAGTTGTGTTTGATACTTCGCTGGCTGTACTGATTTAAATCGAGCGGTTCTGTTGTGTTTGTGGTGCAAGTTCAGTGACGCAGGTAGTGTCGATTCTCTCCGGCCAATCCGTGATCAGCAGAGTTTACACGTCACGTTTTGGTAATGGTACGGTTCACTTGGAACCCCAACTGAGGTGGTACTAAAAAAAGTACCAGGTACTGTACCCAGTGGAAAACCCCCCAAAAGTGAACCGTACTGAGCCGTACCGTGCCGTACCATGCAGTGGAAAAATGCCATTAGGCTACTCTTTAGCAATCTGAAATTATAGTTACAGACTAGGGCTGCCCGATAAATCGCACGCGATATTTAACGCGCATCTTGTCAGAAAGCCGGTTCTGTAATCAGCGGTAAATCTCCATCACCTGCGGGCTTTCACATTGAGCAGCATTAACTACACAGAGCCGTTGTTCACTGACGAGCTGCGCAAAAAATCGTGCGAATATGAACGTGGTTTTGCGCAGCTCGTCAGTGAACAACGGCTCTGTGTAGTTAATGCTGCTCAATGTGAAAGCCCGCAGGTCATGGAGATTTACCGCTGATTACAGAACCGACTTTACTGATAAGATGCGCGTTAAATATCGCATGCGATTTAACGTGCAGCCCTATTACAAGACCTAATCAACCACAGATTTATCTTGTCACAGCATCTCATTAAAAAGACAAAAAACCTTAGGGAGTGACCTTAAAATAGGCTTTTAAACCATTTCCAAAAGTCACAGGGTAGGCTCTTTACCGTGACTGAAATTTCAATGTTGGCCAATGTACGTAACAAAGCACAACAGTAGCAAACATAATCCTGAAATGAATTTGACAATGATTCCGCAGCTGTTCTTTTAGTTGAACAGTATGTACTTGCAAAACGTTACATTATTAAGTTTCATACAGATAAAAGGCCAATGTAAAAGTGACAAACAAACACTGGCATCACTTAGCTTCTTAAGATCTGAAACTGGATTTCAAGCTTTAATTGGAATTTCCTTCCCAATTTTAATGATCTTCAGAAGCACAGAAGCTGTTCTGTTCTGATTAAAAGCTTGTATTCAAGCAGTTAAATGACCTTCTTCCAGCCCTTCCCCCACTGCAAGTTTAGGCCAGTGGGGTTAGGAGGGTCTGAGCTCTTTCCCTACCCCCTCAACCACATCTTTGGCTCCTGGGATTAAGCGTCATGGACAGTCAAACCAGGCCTAAACTTCCCTCTATTCATAGATCGGAACAACAGGAAGAAAAAGAAAACCAAGCCAACAATTTTGTAATGTAATAGTGTTAGCATATTGCTGCAAATATTGCTTAAATACTGCTTTTTTTACACAAACTATGATAATTTATCTAATCCTTCAAAATATTTTTTTTTAAATGCCAGAGCCACAACCTAGTGCTTTAATAACCATGATGCTTATTTACGTAATGCAATTTTGAATCTGGCTCACAACATTTACTCAGTTTGTTCCCTCCTCTTCTGCATATAATTTCCAGTCCTCTCTTTACTATTTGATCCATAAAAGTGGCAAAATGTCAATCAAAAAGCACATGCGATGCAAAGAAAACATGACCGCAGAGGAAACAACTTACTTGCATTCAGGCGACTAGGTCGCTAATATTGACACCCGTTATCAATACTTCAATAACACATCTTCCATTAGCTGCTAAACGGTTCAAATTCACAAGCGGGCCTTCCGCGCTTACCTTTTCATTTTTCACCTTCTTCAAAGCTCTGCATTCCCCGTCAAGCTCCTCTGGCTCTGATTTAATAGCTAACAGAGAGACAATTCCAACAGTTTCCAGAGCGTTATTCCCAAGCTGCTCTGTCACAGCCATGTCTGCATTTTGTGTACTGTCAAAGGGCGTGTTGCGTGTGCTTCCAAACGCCTGAGTGTTTGCTACTATCTCCTTCTCAATTGCCACGACTGCAACTGGTCCGCTTTCGCTTTTTTCTTTCTTGTTTTTCCCGCTTGATACTTCCTTCTCCTTTTTGCTGTTGGGCACACCGCGTGAGGCCTTGGCGCCCTTCTCGACGCCTTTGCCAGGAGCAGAGGTGCTGCCTCCTGAACTACCTGTCGCACCAGTAACCTCCCCTTGGGTCCGTCCCTGATGGTCCTTTTTTGCTCCATCTGCAGCTGGAGTCTTGCTGCTATTGTCTTTAGAATTTTTGTTGCGTTTCGATTTTGATTTGCTCTCTTTGCCCTGAGGGGCGCTAACCGGGCTCACAAACTTGATATTGTCTGGCAGAGCCGCTACTGCGCTAGGTGGAGCTGCCATTCCTCCTCCGTCCTTGGTGCCAGACATCTCGAGTTTGTCCTTCTCTAGGTCAGCGTCAAGGTCGATAATCAGATTTCCAACCCCGATATCCCACTCATCACCGCTGTCGTAAGTGTCCACCGCATTCGAGTCCACACCTTTCCCGCCTGCAGTGCCACCACTTAGGGACATTTTAGTGCCAGCGGCCCAGGTTTGTCACAGTAACGTCTGATTCCTCAGACTGCCAGGGTGTGGGGAGAAGGAGAACTGTAGCCTCAACGTATTGATGTCAACTTCCCAGTCACCCACATTTTGCCCTAGAGGAGAGACATACAAAAGGGATTATCTGACTTGAAAATGTAGTCTGAAAATGAAACGGTAAGCGATGAATATGCAGCACATGGACTTGACTTAACACACAAGAGCAAATATAAAACGTGAGTAATAACATTGACCTTCTTTAAATAGTATACATAACCTTCTTTACACAAATTGAATAAAAGGAAAGTGTGAGAGTTATAGTGTTTTAACCAGATGCAATCCATATTTTCCTTGTTAATCTGAGAAACTCAACAGAAAGGCTTGTTTTCTTACCATTATTTTGAGCTACACAGTATTGTTATTTCATCACATTCAAATCAAATTTCAGTAGCACTTTATTTTACAGTCCTGTTATGCATGCATATGCTATGTACATATTATAGTAATAACTGGGTAATAACTAGGTTCTAACCATAAACCTTAACTTAACCCATGTTAAGTGCATGTAGTTACCTTACATTACTCAGTACTTTCTTGATTAACACTACATTGTACATTGTAAGTGCATGTACAGTAGGGCTGCACGATATATCGTTTCAGCATCAATATCGCGATGCGTGCATCCACAATAGTCACATCGCAGGATGTGCGATGTTTAGTATACTGATCGTTATATTTATACTGATTGTTTTCTTTGCTCACACACAGACACGGTGTCTACACCGGACGCGACAGCTGTACAGAGATACCCATTTTAAATCAATTTAGTAGCAGAGCTACTGCAAGGGATTTTCAGTGCTGGAAATCCATTTATCCTTTGTTGAAAATCCTGTGTCGTCGCGGAGAGCGCACGTCACGGTCGCTTAGCAACGGCAGACGCCACGAAAGCACAAGCTCCCGAGCGGTTTGGAAAGAAGGAGAAAGCGGCGCGGCTGGCGTTTTCCATGTGTTTTTAGGTACGACATGTGAACGTCCCCAAAGTCTGTCTACACTGGACATGACAAAGCGACCTTTGCAAATCATTTGAACTTTGTGTCAGTATGTCAAAAAGAGAACGCACCATCAGTTTACTGTCGGTGATTTGTCCAGTCCTGTTATGCATGCATATGCTATGTACATATTATAGTAATAACTGGGTAATAACTAGGTTCTAACCATAAACCTTAACTTAACCCATGTTAAGTGCATGTAGTTACCTTACATTACTCAGTACTTTCTTGATTAACACTACATTGTACATTGTAAGTGCATGTACAGTAGGGCTGCACGATATATCGTTTCAGCATCAATATCGCGATGCGTGCATCCACAATAGTCACATCGCAGGATGTGCGATGTTTAGTATACTGATCGTTATATTTATACTGATTGTTTTCTTTGCTCACACACAGACACGGTGTCTACACCGGACGCGACAGCTGTACAGAGATACCCATTTTAAATCAATTTAGTAGCAGAGCTACTGCAAGGGATTTTCAGTGCTGGAAATCCATTTATCCTTTGTTGAAAATCCTGTGTCGTCGCGGAGAGCGCACGTCACGGTCGCTTAGCAACGGCAGACGCCACGAAAGCACAAGCTCCCGAGCGGTTTGGAAAGAAGGAGAAAGCGGCGCGGCTGGCGTTTTCCATGTGTTTTTAGGTACGACATGTGAACGTCCCCAAAGTCTGTCTACACTGGACATGACAAAGCGACCTTTGCAAATCATTTGAACTTTGTGTCAGTATGTCAAAAAGAGAACGCACCATCAGTTTACTGTCGGTGATTTGTCGTGTTGCGCCAAATCCAGTGTAGACAGCATCACTGATTATAATGGCTTCGATTGTATTTTGTCGCGTCGCGCTGCTCGCGTCCGGTGTAGACACTGTGAGCCACGCAGATGCACGTGAACACTGAATTCGGTTCACTTCCGCGTCTATTTGTGCCTGAAATACTGTGCTCTGCAAGTATCCTTGTAAACACAGTTGCTTATGGCTTAGGTGAAGGGAAACAATTGAGAAAGAAAATGGGTGTGTAACAGTATATTGGTTCTAGGGTTGGGTACTGTTCACATTTTAACCGGTACGGTATCGGTACCTGAATTTCTGTGTCGGTACCCAACGGTACCTTTTTTCGGTACTTTACTCTCTGTGGCATTAAACATTTAATTTAAATCAAATGAAAATTAAACCCTTTTATTTTTTGGCAAACAAACTGAGGTTTACTGTTGAAATAAATACATGGAAGAAAAATTGTGTGAATATTCCTTTAAAACATTTTTTAATAGGCAATTGTATAATTTTTTTCTACAAGGGATTAATCTGGTTGCAATATGTATTTATCATAAAATTTTTATGTAAATTTGATAGAAAATGTAATATTTAAAGATGTACATTATACTGTACAAAAGTAATACAAGAGTAATATATTTCTGTTACATGTTAAACTGTACTTTTATTTTGACAGGTTGCCATGAAGTTTCTGTGTGTATACAGTATGATGATGCTTGTTTTCTAAAATGAAACGGTAAAATTCTCACGAAGTGACTCTCACAGCAGCTCTGGAGATTACGTTTTTGTGTTCATGCCGTCATATAGTGAGACACAGAGGCCGAAAATCACCGCGAGCGTCACGCGTGCTTCAGTATTTGTGTAGTAAACAAAACCGCGTTTCCGCCATTCATACATACAGAGGCAAGCGGAACATGCAGGATTCATATTTAAACCGTCTTTTTGCATTTTAATATTCACAGACACTAGTTCATATCGCGATTCGAATTAAGTGGCAGTGGCTACTTTTGATATATTCGTCCAAAATTTACGAATTCCGTGGCATTCAGTGCTATAGAGTAAATTACATTTTTACGAATGGACTCCACGATCCCATCCATGTTTTCGCAGAAACCTTATGGCCCTAGAAATGTAACCACACTTCAGAACATTTCGGCTTGCCCTGTGTGTTGTTTGAACGAGTTGCAGGGGTGACATCATGTCACAGGGTCTCTCTTTCTCTCTCTGTAGCGTATGCGCCCAGATGCGTTCTCAGGTACCGAAATTTGGCACCGATTGATTTAACGTGAATCGGTACTCGGCAGTACCGACGCAATTCAGTCGGTAGCCTTAAAAGTACAGAGTTTGGTACCCAACCCTAATTGGTTCACAGCAGTTTAATGTTCCTGAGGCTTTCTGTGTTATGAATGTTAATCAAACAACAAAACACAAAGAAAAATCACTTTTGTAGCTTTAACACAGATTTGTTAGATTTAATTTATAGTGAAAACTATGCAGTGTTATTTTACATTTGATTATACAATTTCTGCACCTGAATACTGTTAGACTTACCTGAAAAATATAAAGCACTGCTTATTTCATTTGTATCTTTGTTCTATTATTTATCTATGCTTGTAATTTGTTGATTTCCTATGCTGATTTACTTGCCTACAAAATCACCCCAATCATTGATTTTTTTTTCCAAATAGAGCTATTGAAGTCATCTGATTTTTTTTTCCATATCGCAATATATATTGCAGGAAACAAATATATCACCATGTGAGTTTTTTCCAATATCGTGCAGCCCTAATGTACAGTCAAATAAATTGCACCCCACACTTCAACTTATGCAAATAACTTGTGCTGCTGTGGCATCTGGTGAAAAAACATTTGCAAAAGGGTTTCTAAACAACACTTGTGGTAGAAACAATACTCAAATATTTATGCTGGTTCATATTACTATTTATTCAGATACAAATATGCAGAGTCCTGTCAGTAAAAAGTACATAAAGTTGAAAATGCAAACTTTGCAAACATAAAAATAGATGATAATTTAACACACACATAAATGTATGTTAAACTACAACATTTTTCATTCATTAGTACACAGTGATAGCCTATATTGGGACTGGGATATTGGCCAGGGGTGCATTTCCAAAAAACAACGTTAGCGAACTATGGTTGTTAGTTACATTGAACTCTATTGGTAACGTCGGAACTTGCGACAACAGTTGGATTTGGGAAACACACCCCAGGGTAATTATTCTTTACTTTGACATTTTAAGATTTCCAATTGGAATTTCCATCTTTTGCCATTTCCAAAATTATGCCAACAGATAATAAACATTGGTAATGGGTTTTAAATTTTTTTTTCCATTTCATAGGCATTGAATTGTATTGGCCAGTGACAACCCTGCTCTCTAGATATCAGCATTGGCTATTGAAAACTCTGTTACCACTTGACCACGACTTTAGTCGTTAACAAACGTCTATAATCTTGCAAACAAAAGCACAATGTTACACTCTGAACAGCGAGCAAGGTTTGGATAACAATGGTAACATTTTTTGCAAAGCCATTTGCTTCTAAACAGAACACTGATGTGTGTAATTGTAAGCATTTTGACCTATATTTTGAGCCAAAGTATTGGTTAAGAGCATGTGTCTGCTGACATTGGGCTTCATTCAAAGCCTGATGTCTGTAAACTAATTAAGGTAGCCATTCTTTTTCTCACACAAGTCAAAGGAGCATGCACTTTGACCTCTGACAGTGTAAATAATTAACACTCAAGTCTGCAGAATTTGTCCTGCAGTGCTAAGGGGCTCAGGGCTGCAAACAAGGGCTGGAAAGCAACGACCACAGTGTTCTAATAAAAATGAAACCGCAGCCTTACACTAAATCTGTAAGAATCTGATTAACTCATGTTAGTCTATCCATGTTTGAAATGCTTCACCAAACTTCAGCAAGGAGAGGGCTTTGTTCAATAAGCTGGAGCTTGTATCAGCCTTTCACTTAGTTTCATATAGGTTTTCGCAAGTCTCTGATCACCACAAAAGTCACAGAGTGGAATTGAATGCAAGTAATATCGTTTCAGACACTGAAATTCCCCAAACAAGCATCTCACATGAATTGACTGTGCTTCTAGCCTGAATGCCTAATGCGTACCTCGAAATAAATGCTTACGTTAATGTTTCATTTATATTAAGAAAACCGTAGCTTCCATATCATACTAAATTTTTAAATCCTCTTGAATTTTGTGACTCTAGATTGACAATCCTGATGGAGATGATTGTGTTGTGTGATTTGGTGCAACTACTGCAACAGAGTCATTGGATTCTCTGTAACTATGCCTTGTAAATGACAATATCCCACCAAGAACAAGAACACAAAACCTTGTATTGATTGTAGGCCCCTTCATTGATGAGCCATCATCTGACGACCATGCACGCTCTACATAATCCCAGATGGTCATTCTTTCACAGTGGGCAGATCTAAAGAATGCAGATGTTCCGCTGGAACAGTCAAAGGGGTCAAAGTCAGTTTGTAACATCTGTAGCTAACCTGTGCACCGTGGTTTCATGTGAAAAGCCTGTTTGATCCCTTTAAAAGTCCAGGAGATGTACAGCTTATTCAATAAGCTTTTTAAACATGGCATCACAGAATGAATGTTTTGGGATCACAAATCTCAATAATTTTCTTTTTTAGATAATTGTCTATATAAATAGACAATTATGTCTATAAATAATTGTCAGTGAACTACGGCTCTGTGTAGTAAATGCCGCTCCATCTGCAAGCAGGTGATGGAGATTTACTACTAATCACAGAACCAGCTTTACTGACGAGATGTGCATGACAATCGCATGCGATTAATTGCACAGCCCTACATATTGATATTTGTTTTTCTGTTGTAAAATCATATAAAATAGTGAACAGGGGAACTTCTTTAGGAAACTTAATGCCAAATAAAAGTACATTAAAATCATCACAATGTTGGCTAATTTTATATGGCCGATAAAATATAAAATATAATTAGAACCGTCATCCCTATTGATGTCACAAAAAAAACAGACAGAGAATAACGTTCATCTGCATTAGAAAGATAACAAAGGCACAATCTAACAAAAATGCATAACAGACCACTTGTTGTAACATTTTGAACAAACAGCCATTATTGTCAACTATGTAGCCTAAATTTAAGAGATTAAATTCAAAAATTAAAATACAGTACAGATCTGTATAAAAAGGCTTGCTTTCCAGTTTTTCACCAAATTTATACAAGGAAGAATGAGATATAATTTCTATTTGTGCACCGATGTAACAATACAGTAATAGTAATAAATAGCTATATTTCGCTAAAACATTTTTAAGCGTTTTTAAGTCATACAGAGATTTTTTTTAATACATTTCTGAAAGATAACACTAATAAAATGTTGAATTAGTGTTTAGAACAGATTTCTTATAAAAGTTCATTGGAACTGATTCTAGAAAGAATCAAGCTCCACTAACATAAGATATTAAAACACAAACTCATATTAATGACAAGCTGTCTTTAGGAAACTTAATGCCAAATAAAAGTACATTAAAATCATCACAATGTTGGCTAATTTTATATGGCCGATAAAATATAAAATATAATTAGAACCGTCATCCCTATTGATGTCACAAAAAAAACAGACAGAGAATAACGTTCATCTGCATTAGAAAGATAACTTAAAGGCACAATCTAACAAAAATGCATAACAGACCACTTGTTGTAACGCCAATAAAGATTGAATGCTGAACTAAATGATGTGCATAGCTTGAGTGGTGACACAACAGTAAATTCATAATGAGTGTATGGATCTTTCCAAGCATTCACAAACATTACAGAGCTACAGCAATATCTCTCTTCCAGCTGTACGCTCCCATCGGCTCAGACCTATTGATTTCTCTGGACTATCCTAACACAGGATCAGAGAACTTTCAATATCAAAGCTTGTTTGTGGTAGGAGCACTACGATATATGAACTAAAAAACACAGCTGTCATGACCAAAGCGGAGCAAAGGCTTTTTAAAGTGTAAAGTATAGACAGAAAACATCTAGCTCTGGTCTGCAGACAAATCTCAACTCTCCAGACACTAAACAGCAAAAAAGAAAAAAAAGAAAAAAAGAAAACTGTCTGAGACACAGGTAATAGATTCGCCCTCCGGCTGACTGCCAACTCATCTCCACACAAGTACTCTACAACATTATTACTGATAAAAGCAAATGAAATCACGAAAGTTCACATATTTGCGTGTTTGGTGTCAAGTTACCCTTACAAAAATACGGCAATGTTTTTTGGACATGGTGTCATGGAATGAAGTTCCTTTGAGCACCATACCATCTATAACACTTTTGTACAATAATATCAGAGTACTGCAACGTAAAGGCAGATGATGTGTGGCCAATATCATCAACCTATATCAATGTGCTACACTGTATAACATAATCTGTCACCAAAGGAGGAAACTGTAAACAAAATACTATATATGAAAGTCAAGTTCAGACTCATTAATTGATTTCTGAAACATCTTCAACATATGTCAGCATGTATCTGCACCAACGCTTCATTACATTTCTTTCAAATAACAAATGAACTCTGGGTTTTCTTTTCAAAGCTGATTCTTTTCCATAGGCTATATACAATGATTTTCTGCTTTCTAAATAGGTCTTCACTTGATGATATTTGATATCTGTGCTGATTCTTTAAATAGATACAATAGGGCAAATGCATTTCAGTTGCATTCACACACACTCAATAGTGCACAATAGTTGCACTAGGAACCATGGAACTGAATAAACCAAGATCGTATTAACATTCCAATGTATTTACATGGCCAAGGTACGTCAAAGAATATCATAGTGGTAATATCAGGGTTTCATGAAGAGACTTACATTTAAAACCTTTTTTAAGACCAAGTAAAGAAAATTTAAGGAAATCATTTGATTGAACACAGCAAGTCAATATGATCTCTAAACAAGTAAGTAAATGTCTTGTATTAGCAATGCTTCGAGGTTTGAAAATACACCATCCAGCAGATATCCATTATTTATTTTTAATCACACTGGAAAATAGATATGTTCTTCATCATAATTTTGGTCTTGTTTTCATTTGCAAATGTCTAAAGATTTCGAAATGGACGCATTTACTTGGAAAAACAAAATGATATAAGATAAGAAGTCTTGTTTTATGAGAATTTGAAAATTAAGTGAGTTTATGATTAAAAAAAAGAGCAAACATCTGCCAATGTCAACTTAATTCACACTAAATTTGTTCAGTTTCTCAGAAAACGAGACCTTGCATGTTCAATATGTTTTGTTTTGATATTTGTATTAGGAAAAAAATACTTTACATTGTTTTGCAGTGCATCTAACATTTAAAGCCATTACTTTACAAATTTAAGAGTTTCTGCCCTGATTTAAGACCTTTTGACATCTTAATTTCAGGAAAGGCAAATTAAGACTTCTAATACCTTTTTAATTCCCAAAGAAACCCTGTAATATGGTACACCTAAAACCATCAATACAAATGTTTCAAAATGTCCAATTCCCAACACTGTATGGTGACACTGAAATGTATTTCCCATTAGCCTGCAGCGACAAATCATTTTGAATTTACCTTAAAGATAACTAAAGTTAGGTTTTGAGATAGTATCCATTCACCAGTAGCTAACGCAAGTAGGCCTGTCGCAATAATCAATATATCGCAATATATGTACATGACCTCAATCATTTTTGGTGACGCAATATATCGCTCATTATATTTACTTAAAAATTAATGTCACCATGTTTTGTACGTTCCACTTGTGTGTCTTTTGCAGCTTCTCGAACATAACGTGGTGTAGTCATGCGGTGCTAGTTCAAATGTAAAAAATGCTTCTACAAAAAAAAAGTTTCATCTGCAGATATGGTCTTGTTTAGGGATCTGTGCCTTTGTGCATACGGGCATCTGACTGCTAAGCAGTGATTGTGTTTTTCAGCAATAGTGTGCACCCTTCATTTACAGAGAAAAGAAGGTGAGGGAAAAATCTGTACATGGAAAAATCTCCATACAAATTCTTTGTGCATTTTTTTGACTTGCATTATTATGACTATGTATTCAGTGGCATAAAATGGTTTTTAAAATGACAATAATATCGCTTATCGCAATTATTTCTGGGGCAATATATCGCACAACAAAAAGTTGTTATCGTGACAGGCCTACACGCAAGCAGTTTAAAGGTGATGAGCAGGTTTCTGACAAGGATGAGTGTAAGGCAGTGAAGATTAGCCACAGAGCTTATAATCCCCATCATAAAGCAAACACATTTGGCCTCTGCTCAATCAACACAGTGATAAAACTAGCAGAATTATTGCTTCATACAATTATTCTGAACCAGTGGGGAAATCAAGCAAGCAGATTAGATAAGTTATAAAGATAGTATCAAATGTTAATACTTTGACATACATTATTTACATTTCAAGTACTCTAAGGTAAAGAGCACTATAATCCTTGTTCAAAAACATGGTATTCTCCACCATTACCTTTTGTTAGTGTACAGGGGCTGCTGAAGGCTGTATTATATGGAGTCCTAGAGCGAGTTATGTCGTTGAAAGCAGTGATTCGCTATGAATCTGCTGATACTCACACATTCTTTGACATTCATAACAGACTCGAGCTCTTCCACAGAGAACTGCAACTCCAGCATGAACAAACCAGTGCTGTTTTAAACACAGTCGGAGTGTTTACTGACTCCATAAACCGTGTGTTTGCTTACTCCGCGAGGGGGGAAATGAATATTACTGGTGTAATCGAGTAAACTGGGACTCGTTGTTCGAGTCGCCGCACCTAACGCGCGTTGCTCTTAAGGAAATGAGTCGCTAAGATGGTCAAAGCATGTGTGAGCCATGACAACCGAGCTAAGCTAACGGGCGAAAGCACCTCCAGTCTCCATCTGCACCAATAAAACACCACCCCCTACTCACACACACACACACACACACACACACACACACACACACACACACACACACAAAAGAAATGCATTAATCCCATCGCCACTTACCCAACACGCGAACCCCTATCCAGAGAATACTTATGTACATTCCATAGAGAAAGGTGGAAATGCCTCTGGATTTGCGTACGGAATTCCCAAAATGCTCCCAAAGCAGTGCACTTTCCAACACATCCAGCAACTAGAGATAGGGAAGGCCAGCAGCCATCACACTCCTAAAGATCCCGTTCAGAAATGGAAACACTGCCTTGAAACTGGCATCGCAGGATCTAAATCTCAAAGGGTTCTTCAAATACGTCTTTCTTAAACTCCAGGACGATAAATCCAACATCTCGGCACGTCCATTTTCACGTATTCATTCATTTTTTCCCCCTCCCTTGAGTTGAGTCCTAGATCCCTAGCTCCTTTCAGTAAGGGAGATACAATGTAACTAAAGGGCAGGAGGAGGAAGCGCCATGAAATCCAGGAGAATGATCCGCATGGATTGAACCCTAGGCGCGCAGTGCGTGATAAGACGCGGAGACTGGATCGTCGTTCCATTCCACCGCTGCCAGGCATTCTCTCGGAAACTTCCCACGTGTTTGAATGTGTTGTGAGTCCAAAGCGTTTCAAATGCATTCAGAAACGTGGTGTCCTTTCTGCCTTAACTTATTTTCCTCTAATCTCCAGATCCTGTTTTTTAACATGGTAACTCTTTATATGTCTTTAATATGAAATGGCAAGCTGTTTGTACAATTTCAGCCACATTTCAATTAGAAGCAAAGGTATAAACACAATTTGTGAAATATTTTCAAGTAGTTTAATGTTGGTTTCATTTATGTTTTTGCAATTCATTTACAATTAATTAGTCTTTCAGTGATTGCATTATCACCAGTGCGTTAGTAACACTTGTGTATATTATCTTGTAATGAATGACATAAACATACTTCAGAGTTGTAATCATGCAACTCTTTATCATATTCCATAAATCAATTATGAGCAGTCTATGTCTGTTTATCTGAGTTGAAACAGTCTAATGGATAAAAATAGATAATAACAGTTGTCATCAACTATTCTAAGATTACATTTTAATAACTGTAAACAGAGTGTCTTTTAGGGTCACTTTAAGAAATTAATTAGTCTGCTTAATTACACTCTTAAAAATGCTGGGTTAAATACAACCCAGTGCTGGGTAAAATAGGGACAAGCCCAGCAATTGGGCTGTTTTGACTCAGTGGTTGGGTTACTACCCAGAAGGTTGGGTTAAACATTTAACCCAACCGCTGGGTCAAAACAGCCCAATTGCTGGGCTTGTCCCTATTTTACCCAGCACTGGGTTGTATTCAACCCAGCATTTTTTAGAGTGTATGGGTGATAAAAATAAGTTTGATCAGACAGTGCTTTTTTACCATCATAATAAATGATCAAATCAGTGTTATTTTAGTATTGCGATACTATTGCATATTTTCATTTGAATCTTTTTTAATGTCTATAGTCGATAATCATTTTTAAAAATAAGAAATTTTAAGAAATGTTTCCTTTGCAACTTAATGAAAAAATAAGTGCATTAAATATTTGTATTTACTTATTTGGTTTCAGTTTTTGTTCACAATCTAGTTATCCTGGCTGACGTTTGAACATAAAAACCTGAAAACATTTACGTAAACTCTATTGCCAGAGATTCACTGAAAATCTTCCCCTCTATTGTAGCTCTAAAACCTCATTTGCATGTGGAATTACATCGCTATCTCTCGACCAATTCATACGTATTCTATGAGGTGGCTAATTCATATGAATTCGTATGACCTCACTTGTTCGATTTTGTACGATTTGTCTAGACCCCAGTGACGGGTAGGTTTAGGGGCGGGGTTAGGGGTAGGTTATTCGTACAAATTCATACGAATTGGGGAACTCGTAAAATACATACGATTTAGCAAAAAACATACGAATTCGTATGAGTGACGTTGTATGAATTCATACGAATTAGCCACTTTGTAAAATATGGATGAATTGCCGTGGGATCGGGTTGCCAATTATGTTTATGTTTCATAGGAAATGAGCAGCATGAACATTCTGCTACATATCGTTTTTCAGAGTGGGAAAACATTTTTACAAATTTGAACTGATTTGAGGGTGAAATAGTTATGCCCGAATTTACATTTTGGATGAACAGTTCCTTTAAAAGAGGAGGAGTTAAATGATCAAACACATTTGGTAGTACAGTAACATTGCTGGTGAGTGATTTATCTGTAATTTTTTTGCTTTTCAGTTGATGACTGACAGCCTTGCTTTTGACATGACTGAGAGGAATGATCATTTCTATAGACACAAAGGGCATACATCTAGCACTTAACTCATTTTGCTACTGTGCAGTAGACTGACAAAAACCCATGCATATCAGTTTACGTGTTAAATATAGCAAATAAACACCTACATTCCATGCATCTTTAACACTCAAAGATTTCTTTATAATGTAAAAATGCTATTTGTTGATGTGCAGGTAGGCTATTACTCGTTCACTATTTCCACAGCTCAGTGAACACTGGAAAGCTCCTCTAAACAATGCTATAGTTTCCAACTGGCTGATAACAGACCAGCAGCTCCAGGTTTCATCATAAACTCAGCCATGGGGAGAAATTTTTCACTCTATTTCTGGGTGCCTGGGTGGCAGCGTCGTGTCTGTAGCCACAGGTATGCTCATTTGCACTTTCTTTTATTCGGGGTTAACAGAGTGAGGCCTGTCAAACAGTGGTAAGAGAAGGAAATGCCTGCAAGGAAAGTGCTGACTGAGAACAGGAAGACCTGCTGCTGACATTTCTTCTACAACCTAAGCCTCTTTTAAAATGCCCCCTCATTCAAATGCAAAAACATAAGCTTTTCATAAGATAATTAGCTCCTTCGCACTTGAATCATGCTTTTAATAGCTCATACTGTTTGTTTAAACAAATGCAGGGAATTTGTTTCAATACTTCATAACTGTTGTTTTATTGGTATAGATTTTTCATTTATAAATCCCACGCATCGGCCATGCATCGAAGCCCACCCAAGATCACGCCGCCGACAACGGCTCTGTGAAACTGAATTTTGGAAGCTCTTCAGCACTCATAAAACGTCTTTTGTACTTTGACACAAAGGAGTGCCCAGTACCCCATAGCTGGTTAAGATGACGAGTTTGATTAGCTGCTCTCTGGCTTTAGGCAAGGGAGGGTTTTCAAAAGGTTTAATCTTAAACTCAAACAGTATTTGTATTTTGGAAAATTAATTGCACATTACAATATGATGGGAAAAAAAGAAGCAAAGTGACAGACGTTGTAAAAGGGTGGCTCTTATGAAAACCTTCAAGTAAGGTCACTGTCACAAATCCGGTCCATGAACTTTCCATTTCATTGACTCTCGCACTACACAAACTGTTGCACATCACCCCGGACTACATTTCCCATCATGCATTACTGATTGCACTCAGCACCTATTGCACACACCTGTTTACACTGATTGCACCCAGCTGTTTCATATCACTCCCTCACTATATAACACTCACTCTTATCCTTTCCCTCTGTCGAGTATTGTTCCGCATTTATCACTCCCCTAGCGATAGCGACTCTACAGAGCCCTCGTTTGTTGCCTTAGCCCTAGCCCTAGTCATTTGCCGTAGCCTTAGCCCTAGTCATTTGCCGTAGCCTTAGCCCTAGTCATTTGCCGTAGCCTTAGCCCTAGTCATTTGCCGTAGCCTTAGCCCTAGTCATTTGCCGTAGCCTTAGCCCTAGTCATTTGCCTTAGCCTTAGCCCTTGTCATTTGCCTTAGCCTTAGCCCTTGTCATTTGCCTTAGCCTTAGCCCTTGTCATTTGCCTTAGCCTTAGCCCTTGTCATTTGCCTTAGCCTTAATAAAGCTTGCACATGGATCCGCAAGTCTCACGTCTCGTCAGCCCCGTAACAGTCACATTTCAGTTAAAAAATAAAATGAAATATATTCTGCATTAGTAACAATTATGCCTATTTGTACACTGTGACAGTATTTTCTTGACAATCAAGTACATTTCCTCTCTCAATCGTTAGTAGACTACTGAGAAATATAATAAATAAATCTGCATTTCAATCTATCATAGTAATACCATGTGTTTTTTGATACCTTGGAGAACCATGCAAAAACACCAGCATGTTTCTTAATATCATCTTAAAGGGGTGCATGTACAAGAACAACAACAAAGGGCCTAATACAGAACTTTTTGGCACTCCATACTTTACTTACATGATTTTCTGTGGAAGATAGATGGATAGATATATAGATGGATGGATAGATTTTTCATTATTATATTACATTAATGATGATTTTTTTCACATGGCAGGAATGGGAATTTGGTGGGAATTGACTTATTTTAATTAATATCTGTGAGATTTACCAAGAAAGATTCACACATAACAAATGAACCAAAAAAAAAACGAAGCAATCCCAGATAAGTCTATATATTCAACAGACTGCAGATGCTAGCTGATCATTTATCATGCTGATGTATTTACCCGTGTTGAAATACGTAGAAAGACCGATGCCCCGTTTTGCACAAGAAGAGGAAAATGCATGCTCAATACACGGCAGGCTACTTTAATGCAGTTCCCATCGTGCAATCTACCGTTAATGGAGCCAGTCATTTGCTCTTTCTGGTGCAGAGATGCTTGTGTCACAAAGAGGCCACTCAATCACTTTGAGAGCAGCAGGCCCAAAACCTGAGAGGCTCTGGCTTTGACAGCCATTGTGGCCCAAATAACAAGAGCAGCTCCAACATGAGCTCTCCAGCACAACTGCCTCTTTAGTAAGCAGAAAATTCCATGCTCAGCCAACCGGTTCAGGTTCATGAGCTGGAAATCCAATTGAGATTAAAAGGGAGCTGGTTAATTATACAGCAGTATTATATGCAAAATAACCCAAAAGACTAAATTATAACAAATAAATTATATTTTAAAATGCTTTCCAACTGAAATGTACTAAAGAACCAATACACGAGTAGTCTTCAGCCTTTTATTGCAGAAAAAGCAATAACATTTAATCAGGGAATGATTGTGCATTTGCCGTGCTACTGATGTCACCATTAGTCCCACACGTCTCATATATGACATGGTGATTCCCGCTGTAGCATGACATGGCCAACGTGAGGCTTCCACAGGGACTCTCTGTTCCTCGTCTCTTGGCTTTGTTCAAGTCATGCTGGCTGCATTAAACACTTCTTGGCACTTTGGTGGCTCTGGCTCTCCAGTTTCCCTGTGTGAGAGAATGGGGAGGGGTGAGGTTAATGGTGATTCAAGTCCCAGTGACCTTTTCAAAGCTCCCTGTCAAACAACGAAAAGCTGCCCTGCAGGAAGAGAGAATTTATGAATCTGTTTACACACACATTCACACTTCCAACACCTTTTTCACACTTTCTCATCATACATAGAGGGGTTGCAGTGCTGTAAATGTCACACTAACACATGATTACTCAGGGACAG